ATTGTACTTGTAGCTACTCAATAATTAAAATAGTTTTGTAAACACAAACAAACATATTGTAAAATAAATGCATTGTTAAAAATAAATGTAAGTTTTCGAGAATATCATTGGATTATTATTTGATATTTTTAAATCAGTCCACTTTTCTTGTTTTTTTTTTTCTTTTTTGTTAAAGTAAAATAATAATTAAGCATTGTAATCTGGTATAGCAAAACATAATTTGTTGAATCTCTTGGTTTGTTTGTAAACTATTAACAATTTATTTATAAAATATACGATTTTAATAGCTGTATGTATAAGATTTTCTTTTGACTTTTTATCTCGTGTTTTATGGCTATTTTACTTTTAGTTTACAAGCTAAAATAAAATACAAACTTATAATTTATGTATTTTCTAAGCAAAATGTATGCACATATGACATAGTTTAAGCACTATATAGCAAATACTTATTAGTTTCTTTTTTTTTGCAGAGGAAACCTATTAAAACTGAAGCGTACAAGAAATTAAATATGTGAACGTATTCGAATGTTTAACAATAACAAAAAATATATACATACACGGTGAGATGAAAAAACTGCAACCATCTTCAGACTGCTGTCATTTCTAAGCCACTCGTCCGACAGCTGTTAAAATTATTCCAGTTACAGCTCATTATATTGTTTACAAGCGTATAAAAGCATTTTAGTGAGAATTTTCCAGAAAAAAGTTATTAGTGATGGAATTCAAGCGTCATAGTGTGATTTCTTTATATTTGGCTGGAAAACCACAAGTGGCTATCGTTAGAGCACTCCAGCATTTAAATGTGAATAAATCTTTTGTGTGTCGCACCATCGCTCGTTACTGTGATAACTGGCAGCGTAGCTCGACGTCAAGGAAGTAGACGGTAGAAAACAGCAACATCAGCAGAAATAGTTCGAAAAGTAAAGAAGCGATTGATCGAAACCCGCCTCGCAGTGGCCGAAAAATTGCTCGTGAGCTGAACAATATTCCATTCGGCAAATATTGAAATATGAGCTCGGGATAAACCCATTGAAATTCCAAAAAGTGAAAGAAAATAGACTCAAAAGAGCCAAAGAGTTGCTTCGCTTGGCCGAAAGTGGTGAATGTTGTCCAGCAGTTTGTAAACAAACAAAATGATCCTATTTACTTGCCAAAGAGGTCAGCTGAAAATGTGCGCCTTCGGTTGGCCACCACAACTCAAGCGCCGGCCATGGTGATGGTGTCGCTCTCCGCTCGTATTAATCGACGGTGGCATCAGAATAAATGCCGAATATTATCGCGAAAATATGCTGGAGAGTGTATTAAAGCCTTCGGCACGCAAACATTTTGGACATTCCAACAGGACTCAGCACGCGCCACCCAAGAATGGTTGGAAAATGAGGTTCCTCGCTTCATTTCCAGCGCGCAATGGCCACCAAAATATCCGGATACCAATCCGTTGGACTATTGTGTCTGGAGTATTTTGGAAAGCAAGGTTGCCACTAAAAAATACCAAAGTGTCGATCACTTCAAGCAAGTGCTTCGGTGGGAATAGGCCAAAATATCGCAGAGCAACATTCAGGCAGCGTGTGACGGTTTCATTGGCCGTATAGAGAGAATGTAATCTCATGTTGAACACAAAGGATCGATTATTTCCGATTAGAAATGGAGCAAAAATAAAGCCGCGCGTCCTTAAGAGAGATAAGGGAATCTATCCCTGCAGTCAGAACCATGGTTAGAACTATTCAAAGAGGAAGAATATTGATTGTGGAATAGGACTCCCCCCTTCCTATTAAAACAAAGACATTTTTTGTTTCGCAATTTATGAAAGAAAAAGTATTTGTGACCCTTTGTGAGTGAGGTACCAGAAAGGGTTCTAAGATATATAGCATCCCCACAACAGATCTTGTGTTAGCAAAAATGTTTGTATGTGTGAAATATAAAGAGAATCTGATGCTTATTTCGGATTTTGTTAACGTTTTGTTTATTAAAGATTTTAACCCTTAGTGGGCGAGGTTCCAGTAGGAGTGGACCGATATACTCCACCTTAACACCAGACCTTGGGATAATAAAATTATTTAGATGTGTGAAATTTGAAGACAATCGGATGCTTACATCACATTTTATAAGAGTTGTAATTATTTAAAATTTTGACCCTTTTTGGGGGAGGTACCAGAAGGAGAAGACCGATATTGTCCATTTTCGCAGCTGACCTGGCAATGACGCAAATATTAGGATTTTCAAAATTCGAGCAAAATCGGATTATCATTTCTCTTTCTTCGCAAAAAAATATTTTTTTTTTTGAAAATTTCGAACTTTTGTGGGGAAGGTACCAGAAGGAGTGGACCGATATTGCCCATCTCCGAACTCGATCTAAGTTTGACAAAAATATTACGATGTACCAAGTTTGGAGCAAATCGGATACTCCCTTCGGGAGTTATCGTGCGCACCAGCCAGACAGACGGACGGACGGACATCGCTAGATCGACTCCAAATGTTCTGAAACGGATTTGGTCCAAAGAGACATAGAGTCGAAAACCCTTATTTCGACTAGGCACGTTTTGACCGTATCAAATGATATATACCCTCTCTAGCCATATGGCTGAGGGTATAAAAAAACGTTTGAAAGAGAGAACTAAATGCAGAATACAGTTTGAGCATTGGCAGGTTGTATTAGACCCCAGGGATTTTTAGGAGTCTAATCGTAGGAGTCTAATATTCATCATTTTCCATTTCAGAACTTTTAAAATTCAATGGAAATTAAATGATATTATCAAATGATTCGATTTGTTTTTCATCACATATACTCATATCTTAGTTTTTTTATCTCTTTTGAAGAAAAGTGCCAAATTGCAGATCATATGGAGACAATTGTCCTACTTTCCATTGCGCTAAATTTATTAAATGCATTGTTCTTCGAAGTTTCAATTTGCATTAGAAACATTAACAAAAAAAATCATTGAATTTAGAATTTTTTCTTTTTTCTTATTGTTAAAAATACACATACATTTACATAATTTCTTTTCTCTTATAAATAATAATAAAAAATATAGTTGGTTCATTATGTTATAAAAATCATTTGCAAATCAGAAAAAAAACTTTGAAAGTTTTATGTGAAAGATAATTGAGTCCAGCGGATTGGTGGATGCGTAATACAACTTTTCAGGACTAAGTTTCGATATTTTGAGTTTAGAAAAGTAACTTATAATATCTTGTTATTGATTCCTAATCGCCATGATTTTTATAACATGCACCACAATTACGTTTGTTTTCTTTAATACTAATCATACTGTGACTTCTTGGTCTCAATACTGGCCAATTTTTTTCTTATAAAGAAATATCCATAAATTAAAACTTAAAACTAACAAGTTATGAGTAATAAGCTATAAACTAATCTTAAGAATAACGATATTATAAAATAAATTAATAATATATTTTAGTTTTTCAGTTGGAAAAGCAGCGTAAATTAAAAAAGAATGTACAATGAAGCCGCCTTTGTTTTTCAATGTAAATATATTTAAATTTGTAAGCTTATGTAAAGATGCATTATTATGTAGTTTTTTTATGGCAATTGTATGTTCAACAATGGAACAGGATTGTAATGAAGGTGTAACAAATCTAAATGTCGTTAGAATTATTTTCCAAAAATGGGAAATTAGTACAAAGCTATTGAAGATGATCTACTAAAACACTCCATCACAATGATGTTCGAATAAAGATTGTATTCATGAGTATGTGTTTGAGTTTTGTTTTGCGTCGTTTTTTAAGCATAAGCGAAACTTTTTTATGCATACACATTTTACAATTTTTTGATAAATTCTTTGCCTATCCTTGCACGAGATCAGGGAGATTGAGCTTGCCCGAGATCAGGGAGGTGGATGGAGGTTTCTTACAAAATTACAAAATAAGATTGGCTTTGGATTGCTGGATCAATCTCTCAGGCCTAATTTAATGCAAACTCAAAAAAGGAGAAAGTAAAGTTGCAAAATAATACTGACACTTTCAATTTTGAATTTTTAGACATAAAAATGGTTTCAATGAGGATTACTTTCCCATTGTATTTCTGTGTAGAAAAACTGTCGATTAAAATTTTCTTCTTAAGTGTGGAAAAGAAGTCGGCAGTGGCTTTTCTGCACAGAAAAGTTGTCGAAAACTACTTTTCTGTCGAGAAAAGTTGTCGATAACTACTTTTCTGCGGAGAAAAGTTGTCGATAACTACTTTTCTGTCGGGAAAAGTTGTCGATAACTACTTTTCTGTGTAGAAAAGTTGTTGATAACTATTTTTCTGTCGAGAAAAGTTGTCGATAACTGCTTTTCTGTCGAAAAAAGTTGTCGATAACTTCATTTCTGTCGAGAAAAGTTGTCGATAACTACTTTTCTGTCGAGAAAATTTGTCGATAACTACTTTTCTGTGGATAAAAGTTGTCGATAACGACATTTCTGTCGAGAAAAGTTGTCGATAACGACATTTCTGTCGAGAAAAGTTGTCGATAACAAATTTTCTGTGTAGAAAAGTTGCTGATAACTATTTCTCTTTCGAGAAAAGTTGTCGATAACTACTTTTCTGTCGAGAAAAGTTGTCGATAACAACTTTTCTGTCGAGAAAAGATGTCGATAACTACTTTTCTGTCTGGATAAGTTGTAGATAACTACTTTTCTGTAGAGAAAAGTGATCGATAACCACTATTTTGTAGAGAAAAGTTGTCGATAACTACTTTTCTGTCGGGAAAAGTTGTCGGTAACTACTTTTCTGTCGAGAAAAGTTGTCGATAACTACTTTTCGGTAGAGAAAAGTTTTTGATGACTACTTTTCGGTAGAGAAAAGTTTTCGATGACTACTTTTCTTTATAGAATAGTTGTTGATAACATTTGTATACAACAGTTGTCGATAGCTATTTTTCTGTCGAGAAAAATTGTTGAGTACAATTTTTCTTTATAGAATAGTTGTTGAGTACAACATTCCTTTATAGAGTAGTTGTTGATAACATTTGTATAAAAAAGTTGCCGATAACAATTTTCCTGTCTAGAAAAGTCTTCGTTCAATACATTTCTGCCAATATTTATTTCTTTTTTTTTTGTTAACAAGACCTTATCGTGTCTTGGATAGAATATTTTTTTATACATAAGGAATCGGATAGATTGTTTTTGGAATTTATGATCTTCCTCCTCTGGTAAAAAGGTAACCTCCCTGTTATAAATCACAAATAGATATTTAGAATTACCAAAAAGTTGAACATAATAAGGATACAAGACAGAAGAAAATGCAACTGAGGAAATTAAAACGAAATTCTCACAAATCTCTATGAAAGAAAATGTCCTCCAAAATACAACTATGGTGATTGCTTGTTGACAATTATTGTTTCCTATAATTTAAATATGTGTGTATGCATCAATGTTTTCGTTTTTTGCTTGCTTTTGTTTAGAATATCATAGTTTTATAAACTCACAACTTTTGTCTGTAGTTTTTTTCTTTTGGAATCTTAATTGTTAACAACAACAGCAGCTGTATCAGCTGCTTTAGGTGCGTCTTCGTTTCTGCTCCCCTTCATTTTTCAAACCAAACGCGGCGCTTCTGTCTTCATTTTATAACCCATTAAATGATAGGCTGCCTCCTCAGAAAACTGTCCAGAATTTGGACTTTCACTGGCTCGTTGTTTCATTTGGGCCGCCAGTGCCTGGGACATTTGGGCAGCAGACATTGCCAGGGCGGCTGGATTGTTGGCAATAACACCACCAATGCCGCTACTTAACATATTTCCAGTACCAGCTAAACTCATTATATTGCCAACGTTGGCGGCACCTCCTGTACCAGTACTACCACTTCCGGCACTCGATGCACCACGACCTCGTTTTCGTTTTGGTAAAATACCCTTACGTGCCATATAGAAACGTATTGTCGAAACTGGGATGTTGAACATATTGCTAACCGTTTGGAAGGTTTGACCTTTCGATACACACTTGGCAGCCTGTTCCAATGATTCTTCAGATCTGCGTATGCGTCGCAGCGAACTATTTTGATCCATTGAGGTATGCATCATAGAATTATTGGCCGATGAGTCGTGTTCTGTGTCAGCCATAACGCCACTACCAGCACCGCCCACACCGCCAAAGCTATCATCTTCATCATGAGCCACATAGTTGTGATCTTCCTCAATGGTGGAGTCCATATGATGTGTTGTCGCCATATTTTGAGACATCGATTCTGAAGGTGTCGACATTTGTTGTTGCATTATATTTTGTTGTAATACATTGCTTGCACTGATGTTATTGGCATTCTGGCTGTTTTCATACTGTTCGTAGGCATTTGAAGTCGATTCATCACCGGAATCCTGTTGCTGATGTTGGAAATTTGTCACCGCTGCGGGATTAGCCATTAACGAGTTTAGAGAGACTGGTGTTAGGACAGGTCGTGTGCTAGGGGGGCCTGACATGGGTTCTTTTTTAATAACTACATTTTGCGGGTGAGATTGTATTGTACTGGTGGCTGTGGCCGTGGTAGTTGTTGTGGAATTTGTTGCTGTATCCTCATCATTGCTATCTGCCTGCAAAACGCCGCTACCACCACCTCCACCACCCATCCCTGTTGATGGCATTGAATTGGAGTTATGGTTGTTACTCGCCGTCTGTTGTAGATTTTGATTTTTACCAGTTAAAGCTTTCAGTTGATTTAAATTCAATGCTGCATCTGATCCATATAATCCCCGAATCCGCAACTGTTCAGCACAGCGTAGCAGTTGTGGTAGCCCCGCCTGTGTTACATTCACCTCACCTTTGTACATAAAATCCACCAAGGCCTGGATCTCCCATAGCTTTATTTCAGATGGTAGTATAATGACAGGATGTTTACAGGGATTCTCAGCTAATATACTTTCGAAATATGATGAGCATGCAGCCAGCACTAAGCGATGGCAATGCACTTGATGTCCCTCACAGGCCAATGTTACATCGACAAATCTCTGACCGGCCAAGAGTTGTGGAAATGCTGCTCCTATACTACCTAAATGACTATTCCAACGCACACAAAACTCCTGTCGATGCGATGGTGACATTTTATCGCTTTTCGTCATATAATATCAATTGTGGAAGGGTTGTTATTAACAATATTTTTAGCTGCTGATGATTTTGATGGTGAGTTGTTGTTATTTCAGCTTTGGAGAATTGTTAATTATTTGTTATAGATAATAATTATTGTATACTATGAAGACTAGATGAGGAAGATTTTCTCCATTGGCTGAATTTTAGGTTCCAGTTCACTTTGTAGTAGGTTAAGGAAGAATTTTGTGATTTTCAACTCGTTACTGAGAGCAGTTTAATTAAAGTTTCTGAAAAGACAAAATATGTTTTCTTTTAATTTATTTAATAGGGTTTACTTTGATGAGTTACTCGCAACAACAAATACTTTCTATAGCAAGAGGATACTAGTATCTTAATTTAATATCTTAAATTAACTACTAACAAGGTCATATCAAACTATAATGGCCTGTAAAACAAGTAAATAAATATAATAATAATGTTATATAGATATATGAATTAATAAAACAAAAAATCCAAGTCTTGAGGGTTAAGCTCTGATAAATCGAAATAAATTCTTTTATTATCCCATCTGTGGATAATATCTCTGTCTTATTTAGCGAGAGTAGGGAGCTGATTCTACTTCAGAATAGATTCAATGGTAGATTTATAATTAGTCCAATCCGCAGATCTGTCGGTTAATTTATTTCCCAGCATGTTGCTGTGTCCAGTTGCCCAAACATTTAGAACATTATAATCCTTTCTAAGAGACTTTTTACAGAAGAGCTAGGAAAGTCATCTTCTTGAAAAAGAACACAAGTCAAGTTCTTATGTTTGGTATGTGGTATGTAGAGTGATATGAAAAAACTGCAACTAACTTCAGATCGCTGTAATTTCTAAGCCACTCGTTCGACAGTTGTTAAAATCATTCCAGTGACAGCTCATTATATTGTTTACAAGCGTACAAAAGTATGTTGGTGAGAATTTTCCAGAAAAAAAGTTTTTCGTGATGGAATTCAAGCGGTATAGTGTGATTTCTTTATATTTGGCTGGAAAACCACAAGTGGCTATTGTTAGAACACTCCAGCATTTAAATGTGAATAAATCTTTTGTGTCTCGTACCATCGCTCCTTACCGTAACACTGGTAGCGTATACCGACGAAAGGAAGTGGAACAGCAACATCAGCAGAAATGGTTCGAAAAGTAAAGAAGCGACTTGATCGAAAACCTCGTCGCAATGGCCGAAAAATGGCTCGTGACTGGCTAAACATATCGCAATATTCCATTCGGCAAATATTGAAAAATGAGCTCGGGGTAAAGCCATTGAAATGCCATAAGTACAAGAACTTACACCGCGCAACAAAAAGAAAATAGACTCTAAGGAACTAAAGAGTTGCTTCGCTTGACCGAAAGTGGTGAACTGCCGAATTTGGTTTTCTCCGATTAAAAAACATTCGTTGTCCTGCAGTTTGTTTTCAGAGGTCTGCTGAAAATTTGCACCTTCCGTTGGCCACTAAAACTCAAGAATACCAATCCGTTGGACTATTGTGTCTGGAGTATTTTGAAAAGCAAGGTTGGCACTAGTGTCGATCACCTCAAGCGCTTCGCCGGGAATGGCCCAAAATACCGCAGAGCAACATTTGGGCAGCGTGTGACGGTTTCATTGGCCGTTTGAAGGCCATAATTCGTACCAAAGGTAGCCAATTCGAACAAATCTAAAATTGTTCTAAAATTTGATGGTAATTCCGACATTTTTTGTTTGCATTTAAAAAAAATTGTAAGAAAAATTTTAAAATTATTGCGTTTGTTGCAGTATTTTTTATCTCACCCTTTAAATATGAAATTTGATCACTGCTTTTGTCAATCTGGTAGAAAATGAGATTTTCAACACTAAAAGGAAAAGATTACAAATAGGATACATTCAATGACCTTTTCAAAGGATATCTGGAGAAATATAGTTTATTTGTTATTACGTAGCGCAAAATTTCTCGGGCATTCCCAAAAGTAAGAAATTGAAAACATTATGTACCTAACTACATATTTTAAAAATATGTTATTAATATTTAATTACTTTTTTTAATTTTGCACTATCTTGATGCTGTAATAAAGGCGTGGATTAAGAAACAGTTCAAATCGTAAAGAAAATCCATTCTTTTAAGAAATTAAAAGAAACTACCTAATCCAAAGGATGTACACAAAAATTCATACCGGTTTTCAAAAGACGTTTCCTTTCCGTTTGTGCTTTTCAAAGAATAAATTTGTTTCTTCTTGGCCAAGTCGAAGAAGTTTCAGTGACCTTGTGTAGTTGCAATTAACGCAAAACAGATTTTCCTTTCGGCTAAGAATTCATCCAGTCTATAAATAATATCTTGGTATTTTTTCTCTCTCTCTCTCCCCAACTTCTTTGGGAGTTAAATAATAAAAAGTTGATACTCCGTCTTATATTTTAAACAAATGACGCCAAAAGACACAAAGACAACACTAAAAGATAATTTTAAAAAATTTACAGATGTACCACATACACCACAGACCACCAACTACAGCAACAACAACAACGCCAGCAGCAGCAACAAACAAAAAACATAACAAAAGTACACACAACTCACGGAACAGGCCAATAACATTGCACTGCAAAAATAGCTTAAAGAACAATTTTGAACACTGTACTTAATATAAATTTATAAAAAAAACAATAGCAACAACGACAACAACAACATTATACAGAACAAGGAAAAAATATCCCATACTCTCACAAAAATCCACAATAAACCCCTCTCGCACACATTCAGCCAGCCAGGCAGCCAACCAACATTCGCGTTAAATAAACTAACAAAATAATGAAAAAACAAGAATCCTCAGGAAAACAACAAAAATACATTAAGAATAATAGTCGCCGCGCTCAATAAACATTGCAGGAAACGGCAGCAGAGCCGTGGCTGCAGCAGAGCAGCAATCATTGAAGAGAACCATTTACCGCATAGCGCCTTTTGTGCCAGGAAATAAGGAGAATACTTTGTGCGAGAGATTTGTCATAACAGGAGATACAACAGTGATGTCAATGCTTAATAATATAAAACAACGCTTTTGCAAGAAATAACACCTTCAAACATGTAATAAATGGTGATTTTTAGTCTATTATCATAGAGTAATAAATATGCCAGACAACGGAATGCTCTCACCGCTTATCTTCGAAAAAATTCGAATAAGCAGATGTCGTATGAGGGTTATGAGTCAAAATTAAGTCCACGAAATTAAACTCAATTTAAACTGCATTATGAGAATTTCATAAGGCCACGCTGTCGAAACATTGTATACGTCCTTGAAAATAGAAAAAAAGAAGCAAAGTGTCGATCACCTCAAACAAGCGCTTCTTTCGCCCGGAATGGGCCAAAATACCGCAGAGCAGCATTCGGGCAGCGACATTTTTGGCTTTTATTTAATAAAATTAAAAAAAAAAAAAATAAATAAAAATATGGTGTTGACTTTGTTGCAGTTTTTTTTTGTCTCACCCTGCATATTCCTTAGTCTATGGTCCTGTTTTAGACAAGACTAATTTATTTGCGGCAATTTTTGTCACTGTTCTCTTTTGAAATTATGTAAAGAAAATTTTCTAATATTTTAACGTTCTTGCGAGTTTTGGAACAGAGCATTTGTAATATTCTCTAAGAATTGTTGGATGATTGTACACACCTATAATGAAAGACGAGTTATCACCATACAGAGCTGAGACATTAAACATCGAAATGTAATAAAAGTGCAATCATCATAATTTCCGAAGAACGCATTGTTAGCAACACTAAAACGTTTTAACATTTCCACCGGAGAGAAACAAAATGAAATTGAAACACAACAAACATAGCAAAAAAAGTTTCAAACGAAAACAAAAGGAGCACAAATACAAATACACATGTTTTGTGCAAAAAAGAAAACAACACACATTCAAACACACACACACATATATTTATTGTATTTCTGTGCGGCAACTGAAGCCTCCCTGAACATTTTATGTACCAAAGAAGGAGCAGGAGAAAAAAATATGCAAATAAAGAAAAAAAAAAGTCGTCTAAAAAGTTAATCTAAGAAACCGAACGTCATTATTCAGGAACGAAAAAAACATGGTACCAATTTTTAAAAGACAAAGAGAAGGAAGAACGTATATAAAGCAGGTTCTTATTGTAGTTAAAGAATTTATGAATAAAAAACTTCATTTAACCAATTAAATTGAGTGTATTAAAATTGCATGACAGATTTGTGGGCAAATACTTACCAAAAAATGGAGAATTTTTAAACTAAAACACCACTTTTTTAAATATCGAATCTTTGTTTTCCTTTTATTACTTTGTATTGATTTTTTCACATTCTTTTTTTAATGAATTTCAACTTCATTTAACTTTTCATATATAAAACATGACTTAATTTGCCATTATAAATTTTATGTGTGTATGAGTGTACAACTTTTTTTTAAATCTTATAATATTCTTCTATGTCGATTTCTTTGCGTTTTATTCTTGTACTAACATTGTTTACTCCTGCTTAGATATGGAAAACAATCGATTACGCTACACGCTGTATCGATATCTCCATTTATGCTAATATATCGATGTATTGTTCGTACTAACGATTAAACAGCTTTTTTTTAAATTTTCTGTAAAACCATGGTACAATAAAAATGTAAGGTAAAGCTACCAGTTCTTTTTAATTATTTCCTAAATCCGAAAAATAAAAACAAAATATTTTCGAAATCAGTGATTGGAAGAAACTTAAATTGTTGGGTGCGCGTTATTTATATTAACCAGATTTGCCTCGGAATTGAATGATTGAACACTTAGGATTAGGATAGGATTGGGAAAAATATTGAATAATGCAATAATTGAAAATAGTTGAAAACAACTTGCTGCATGCAAATTTGACAGGAAGTGTTCAGGGCTGTATTTCCGTAGTTTTACGAAGCTGTTCTACATCCTTATTGTACCATGTATAAAACTATGAATTTGTTCCCGAACCTGCAAGAATTTACTTGCTATGCATTTTTTCCATATCATTTTTTGTTATTGTTCTGGAACATAAAGGAAAAATGGAGAAATAGTAAAAAGATTTACATTCTTGCAGCTCTGGAACAGACCAAGAGTATTCCAGAAAGAGTATGTGAAATCGAAAAAATCGCAAAAATATTATACTGTTGTAGGTTCTGGAACAGACCATACATTTTTTGAAACAGTGATGATATTCTCAAAGCTCTAGGTTTACGATAATTTCTTTTGATCTCTTAAAGAATTTTAAAATGTAAAAGTTTTTACTGGGACAACCGATTTTCCCTTAATGATATCGAAAAAATTGCAAAACTAGTAGATTCTTGCAGGTGCAACAACAGAGCACTCGTTTTCTTTTTTATTATTTGTGTAAAAAAAGAAAAATAAGCTGGAAGAACATAAGAAGCTTGAAGTCATTGCCAGGCATATTTTGTGACATTTCATAATGAGATTACAGAGCCGCACTAAAATCCTGCCGTCGTTTTCCATTATAATTTGACATTAATATGCCTAGCCATGACTTCAAGCTTTTTATGTACTTGCACCTTTATAGTATCACAGTCACAATCTGATGAGCAGCGTAATAACTTATTTACGTCAAATAATGCGGGTTGTTCGTGATCTCAAAAGGCAAACAGACGGAAATCGGAAAATCGGCTTAAAATTTTATGCTGATAACGAAAATATAGTTGTGTTCCAGTACTTTTTTAGTAGTAAAACTAGCAAAAGAGAGAACAGTTCGAAATGTCATTCTCATTTAGGTTTGCTCAAAAAATAAGGGAACGGAAAATTAGCAGAAATGCGATAAAATTTTAAAATTCAAAATTCCAAAAGTAAACAGCCTAAATCGGACTGATGAAACCTTACTGAAAAGAGCGCCAACATTTAAAAAATGATTATTGAAGACGATAAGTTAAAATTAATAATTTATAATAATAATTAATAATCTGATTCCTCATTCAGCCAGTCCTCTTCACTGATGGAATCATCCAAAAGTGAATACATCAGTTGCTCCATATTTTCTCTTTTTGTTTTTTGCACGACAAATATTAGTTTTTCCTTTAGTTTTCAAGTTGATCATTTTCTTTATTGAAATGTATCAATACATTTTTCAACCTTGTTAGCCCTGCCAATTAAATGTCAAATTTACAATATGCACATTTCTGCTCGGCCAAATTCATGTAGCTAAAACAAGCAGAAATGTGCACCACTCAGCGCCAATTTTTTGCCGGGAACGCGTTGTAGCAGAATTAGTGCTAATTAGTACTAATTTGCAGGTTCTGGAACACAACTTATATCTACGATGAATATTTAGGGATGCTACAAACGGAATGACAAGTTTATATACCCTCCTTATTTTGGTGGAGGATATACAGGGTAAGATAAAAAACGGCAACTAAGTCAAACGCCATAATTTTAACATTTTTTTAAGTTTTATTGAATAAAAGCAAAAATGTCGGATATAGCATCAAATTTTAGAATAAGTATAGATTTTTTCGAACTGGTCACCTTTGGCACGAAGTATGGCCTTCAAACGGCCAATGAAACCGTCACACGCTGCCCGAATGTTGCTCTGCGGTATTTTGGCCCATTCCCGGCAAAGCGCTTGTTTGAGGTTATCGACCCTTTGGTATATTTCACACAATATTTCAACGCATTGGTATCCGGAGTTTTTGTGGCCATTGTGCGCTGCAAATGAAGCGAGGAACCTCATTTTGTAGCAATTCTTGGGTGGCGCCTGCTGAGTGCGATGGTGCTAAGTCGTGTTGGAATGTCCAAGATCTCCGTCCAAAATGTTTGGGCGTCTAAGTCTTTAATACACCCTCTGAATATTTTCGTGATAATATTCGGCATTTATTCTGAAGTCGATTAATACGAGCGGAGAGCGACCATCGGCTGTTATGGCGGCCCACACCATAAATATATATTTTATTAAAAAAATTAAATCGAAAGCTCTTTTCTATTGATTTTCGATTTTTTTGTGTAAATGCAGTGTTATGTTACGAGCAAATCATAATAAAGGTATAAACTGTGGGTTAGTTTACTTCATCGTCACATCCGTTACGAGTAACTCCGTATATTGTCAACGTACGTAACGACTGCACTAATTTTATGTTGATTAACCTCCTAAGCGAAACAATTTTTTTCTAAAAGAAATATTGTTTTCCATGAAACATATGTTTATTAATTGAACTTTTTAATACATTATAATAATTAACAAACTTTCGACATAATATATATACTTACAATTTAATACTTACAATTTAGTAATATTTTACCAATCAATAATATCATAAACATTACTTCTAATTGGCAGCGATGCTGTCATCCAAGAATTTGGTTGTCCCTCAAAGGGTTAATGTAAAACAACAATAAAATATTCATTGATAAGCGGAGGAAGTTCTACAAGACCAGAAAAAGATGCGCCTGCGCCGTGTTATTTGGAAATTACTAATATTTATAACGGTTTCCTTGGTCCTTCTGTTTATATTTTTAAATAACAACGAAAAATCGGAAAATTACTCTGATGATTTCATTACTATACTTCGAAATACAAAGGAAGATACAACAGCTAGTGAAGAGGAACACAAGCCACCACTGCAGCTAATAAACAATTTTGATGATGCTAGACAAGTGACGTCCAGACCTTTGTTGAATTTAACACAATTTGAATATTTGATAGATAATGATTTGTGTGAACGTTTCAAAAAGGAGCTAACAGGTAATTTGTAGAATAATGCATTTCAAATAATCTAATCTAATAATATTTCATTAGATAGTTTTTTTTTTAATATTTATAGGGAGGATTTATAGCTCTGTCATGGACAGACTCGTATGTAAAGCCAAATATATTTACTATTTTACTTTTTGTTGCAGACTATTAAGTTAAGTGATTCGGAATATGTAGAATAATGCATATAATTTATTCTGACGCTTTTGGTGTTCAATGTGGAGTCCCGAAAGGTTCTGTATTATGTTTATTAATGACATGGTACACTTAGTTGTTGATGACAGGTTTTTTCTGTTTTTGTATGCAGATGATATCCATGTTTTCTTTAGAGAGGCTGACATTGCTGGGTTGAAAGAATTGACTAACTCTATTGTCTTGTCTCTTTCATCGGATTGGATTTTGTTAAATTGCCTTGTGATTAATTGGTATAAAACTAAAGCCATACTGTTCAATGATCATGGCAATGTTGATTCTCTTAATATTTGTGTGGAATTTCTGTGATTGTGGAACTTGTTGATGAGATGAAATGACTTCGTATTAAGGACTGTATTGTCTTGATGCGTTTTTGCCTTTTCATGTTAGGAAGAGAGTGAATCTGTCTTAGCTGTTATTGCAGGTAAATTATTGTCTGGAGGTCGTTTCTAGCATCATCAGTGTTATGTGCAATTTTGACTCGCCTTTCGTGATAAGTTTGTATTTTCCAATCCCCAACTGTTATGTCCAAGGTTTTTGAACTCCATTGGTAAGAGGTCCTTTGTTATTAGACCTTTGATATTGTGGAATCATCTTCTTTTGGCTTTACGTACTGTTGCATATATCAATTATCTGTTTAGGTTTAAAGTATTTGAATATCTGTAGGCTAGTGGTTGCGTCTGTTTATTATGGGTTTTCTTTAATACCCTTTAGTTTGTCATTCCGTTTGTACCACCTCGAAATATACATTTTAGACCCAACAATGTATATATATTCGATTTGGCGATGTCGCTCTGTGGAAATCACTCGAGCTTCCGATCGAATTGAAGTAGATTGATAAAATTTTACTCAAATGTATGTTATGTCTGCAGGACTTTTTGTATTGAAAATGGGCCATGTAGGTTCACGTTTTGGTATAGCCCCCATATAACGGTACCTCCCGATATTCGGTATTTTCATGATTAAAGCGACATTATTCACCGGAATTGTTTCAAATTTGGTATTTGAAGTTCGTAATGGATACTATGCCTAAGACAGAAAATTGTTTGTGCAGGTCTACGTCTTCGTATAGACCCCATATATCGGTACCTCCCGATATTCGGTACATTGTTGATTTTAGCGACATTATTCACCGGAGTTGTTTCAAATTTTATATTTGAAGTTCGTAACGGATACTACAGCCTAAGACAGCCTAAGTCTTCGTATAGTCTCCATATAACGGAACCTCCCGATATTCGTATTTTAATGGTTTTAGCGCATTATTCACCGGAATTGTTTCAAATTTGGTATTTGAAATTCGTAATAGATACTACAGCCTTAGACAGAAAATTGTCTGTGCAGGAGACCCCATATCACGGTACCTTTTGATATTCGTATTTTAATGATTTTAACGACAATTGTTTCAAATTTGGTATTTGAAGTTCGTAATGGATACTACAGCCTAAGACAGAAAATTGTCTATGCAGGCCCACGTCTTCGTATAGCCCCATATAACAGTACCTTCCGATATTCGGTATTTTGATAATTTTAGGTACATTATTACCGATTTTTTTAAGTTTCGCATTTGAGTATTGTAATGGCTTATGAGAAATCTTACCTATGCAGGTCCATGCCGTCGCTTAGACCCTAATATAAAAGGTACATTCGGTATTTTTAAGATTTTAACAGAATTTTTAACGGGTTTTATTGTTTTTGACAAATGCCAAATTCCTTAAAAATGATGGAGGGATATTAAAAGTTCGGGCCGGCCGAACTTACAGCTTTTTTACTTGTTTATATTCGGTACCTCCCAATATTCGGAATTCTTGATTATTTTTGCCATATTTTTTTCACGGATATGTCTAAAAATTGGTATTTGTAGGTCATAATGGGTTCTACCTCCGGTGGCAGAACAATGAATATTTAGGGCCCCGTTTTCCTATAGCGCACATATAATGGTTCTCACCGAAATTCGGTATTTTGATAATCCTAGTCACATTTACCCACGAAATTTTTTTCAAATTTGGTATTTAAGAAGATTTGGTGATGGCAATCCTTGAAGTATAAAATTGCCTATAGGCCTCACCAACTTTATATATATATATTTTTGAAACACGTTTGATTCCAGATACTTTTATATAAAAATGTTTTCTTTACCCAAAGGTGGAGGGTATTAAAGATTTTTTACTTGTTTTTACTCGATTTTGGTAGATGCGACTAAAATCTTGAAATGCCTCTTCTTCCCCTAGTTATTTTTATTTTTCTTAGCTGAAAACTATTTTGATTTGCATTTAAACAATTCTCTTCTATCTCTTTCAGCAATTATAATTGTCACTTCATATGTGGGTCATGATGAGTTACGAGCGGCACATCGTCAGGCTATATCGCAAACGAAACTTGCCGAAATGGGTATGCAACGTGTTTTCCTTTTGGCTTCTATACCATTAAGGGAACATTTTATTACCCAGTCTCAAATATTTAACGAACAGCAACGGTTTGGTGATCTCCTACAGGGCAACTTTAAAGAAGCCTATCGAAATCTTTCCTATAAACACGTTATGGGGTTAGAATGGGCGGCACAGCGTTGCGAAAGAGCCAAATTCATTATTAAAATCGATGATGATATTATTTATGATGTATTTCATTTGAAACGTTATCTGGATTCATTGGAATTGGAAAATCTGGAACTAACAAAATCCAATGAAATGTTATGTGGTTATGTTTTGGATGATAAGCCGGTTATACGAAATCAGGCCAATAAATGGTATGTTCGTCCAGATGAATATCATTTTAACAATTTTCCATCATATCTCTCCGGATGGTTATATGTGACAAATCCCAGAACTGCCTTACGTTTGGTAAATCAAGCATATAATTCGCCAATATTCTGGATTGATGATACCTGGATAACGGGTATATTACGTGAACCCCTGAAAATACCTCTGCAACGTTTGAACAGTTGGTTTTCTGCCAATCCAGACTTTTTAAGCTGTTGTGTGCGAGACCTCAAGAAACCAATTGCAATGGAATGTGAATTTTATGTTGGTCCCAATGGTGGAGAGTCGAAATTGCTTATCGAATTTTTGCATAACGTTGAGAAATGCTATTACGACGAATGTTTGAAACGTTCAAAGGAACAAAGTCTTAAGAACACCTGTGTTGGTGCGTTCAAACACATTTTACCCGACCATGGAAATGCTGAAGTTAAAATGGTAGCCATGGGTAGATGATAGGACTGACAAATCATATGATCGGTGGAGGTTGCCAATAGTATTAGTTTTTTATACTTTTCAAAAAATTGTATCTGATATTCACAGATGAATATTAAAAAAAGAAAAACATCACATTAAGTATTTATCATATTAACTTTAGGTTAAACGTTTAGCTTGTAGTATTTAAAAGTGACTAAAGTAAAATACATGCATAGATGCATATCTTTTTATACAATGCAATAAACCTCAAAGACAATAATAAGTTTAAAAGAAGCCTATGCTGAAATAAAAATTGCAATTTTTTTAAAACTATATTTTCTTTTTGTACATATTTAGATAATGCGATTATTCCAGGCTCTCGGAATAGTGATAGGGAGTTGGCTTCTGCATGGAAAGATTGTGGCTCATGATATTATAATGTGGATTAGGATAGCTTACGACGACGAATACTTTTATGTAGTTAGACTATCAAACTTTTCAGTTTAGTTATACTCATTGTAGAGGAACATAGGTAGATGCATCAACACTCGCTAATATTGATACGTCAACATTTTTTAAAAATATATCCAAAAATTAATATATTTTAAAAGCTTTCCTTATTCGACGCCAATCGGAGGTTGTCATGACATGTATTTTTCAACAATTTTTACAAATTTCGAAATTTTTTATTCAAAAATTTCAATTTCAAAATTGGTTTGACAGCTCATTCTACCAGCAGCTGTGTTGATGTCCCTACTTGTATCATTTTATCGTGGTTATACCCTACAACACTATGTGTTGAGGTATTATATGTTTGAAATTATGTAACACCTCGAAATGTTGGTCCACGCCATAGGAAACTATATATGAATCTTCCTATCTCGCCGAGCTGAGTCGATCTAGTTATGTATGTCCGTCCGTCCATCTGTCCATGTTAACATGAAATCACGCTAAAAGTCGAAATTATGGACCGATCCTCACGAAATTGAAAATCAATTGAAATCGAGGTGATCAGAATAAAACCCTATCGCAGATGATCTCAAAATATTTAAGGGTTGAAATGAACCAAAAACAGAAAAATGTCCTGATTTTGCTGTTGCTATACAGGCCACAATTATAATCGAAATTTTGCACGAACTTAGAGTTTAGGGCTTGGCAGAAGCCTACTAATTTGTACATTCATCGGAGAATATTTAGTATAACTTTTGTGTCAGGAAATATGAAAAAATCCACTACACCGCAAATATTTTTAATGCCTGTAAAGAACCGCTGGACTAATTTTCACAATTCTCATTAATTCTCCTAACAAATTTTTCCATGGGGATAGGATTTGGGTCAGAATTAAAGCCTATTGTTTTTAAAGATGTAAATTTAGGGGTTCGAATGGACCAAAATAATCCAAATTTTCCCGATTTAGCTGTCGCTCTACAGGTCATAAGTGAAAACCTATCGACAAGGAATTTGATAATTTCAGACAATAACATTGTATTGTGGCAACTTGTACATACAGAGTGAGATGAAAAAATTGCAACCAACTTCAGACTGCTGTAATTTCTAGATCACTCGTCCGACAGCTGTTAAAATTATTCCAGTGACAGTTCATTAAATCGTTTACAAGCGTACAAAAACATTTTGGTGAGAATTCCCCAGAAAAAAGTTATTCGTGATGGAATTCAAGCGTGATAGTGTGATTTCTTTATATTTGGCTGGAAAACCACAAGTGGCTATCGATGGAGCACTCCAGCATTTAAATGTTTCAGTGATACATGTAACGTAGCCCGACGTCAAGGAAGTGAACCGAAGAAAACAGCAACATCAGCAGAAATGGTTCGAAAAGTAAAGAAGCGAAACAGTGGCAGAAAAATGGTTCGTGAGCTGAACATATGTGAGCTGAATTTCCAACAACAGAAACAGAAAGAAAATAGACTCAAAAGAGCTAAAGAGTTGCTTGATTGGGCGATAGTGGTGAACTGCCGAATTTGGTTTTCTCCGATGAGAAAACATTCGTTGTCCAGCATTTTGTAAACAAACAAAATTATCGTGTTTACTTGCCAAAGAGATCAGCTGAAAATATGCACCTTCGGTTGGCCACATGAACTCAAGCACCGGCCATGGTGATGGTGTGGGCCGCCATAACAGCCGATGGTCGTTCTTCGCTCGTATTAATCGACCATGGCATTAGAATAAATGCCGAATATTATCGCGAAAATATTCTGGAGGGTGTATTAACGCCTCTGGCACGCAAATATTTTGGCCGCAGACCTTGGACATTCAAAATGAGGTTCCTCGTTTCATTTCCAGCGCACAATGGCCAACGAAATCTCCGGATACCAATCCGTTGAACTATTGTGTCTGGAGTATTTTGAAAAGCAAGATTGGCACTAAAAAATATCAAAGTGTCGATCACCTCAAGAAAGTGATTCGCCGGGAATGGGCCAAAATACCGCAGAGCAATATTCAGACAGCGTGTGACGGTTTCATTGGCCGTTTGAAGGCCATAATTCGTTCCAAAGGTGACCAATTCGAAAAAATCTAAATTTATTCTAAAACTTGATGCTATTTCCGACATTTTTTGCTTTCATTCAAGAAAATTAAAAAAAAAAGATGTACAAATTATGGCGTTTGACTTTGTTGCAGTTTTTTATCTCACCCTTATGAGAGAAATATACTCCTTCTCTGAATCGATTTCTTCTAAATTTGCCGAGGAATTTGTGCCTTTTTAATTTCGGGCCTGTATCAGCCATTTGGTCCACAATTAACTTGAAATCGAAAAAAAATATGTAAGGGAGCTATATCCAAATCTGAAACGATCTCGAAAAAAATTTGGCAAATATATTTCTGAGATGTATTTGATATATTTCCCCGAATAGGGTTACTACGGAGTATATATTACGCCTGTGGAGGACAAAAATAATAAATCGGACGAAAATATATATGGGAGCTTTAGCTATATCTGAACCGAATTTCATCAAACTTGACATACTTTTTTCTGGAATCAATTTGGTAAATTCCATCCCATTTTTGCTAATATTACACGTTTGGTACACAATAAAAGGCAAATCCGACGAAGATATGTATGGGAGCTATATTCAAACCGTCCTCGATAAAATTTGGTAAAGGTATTTCTGAGCTGTATTTAATATATTTCCCAAAATATCGTTGTTACAGAGTGCATATTACGGTTGCGGAGGACAAAAATAACAAATCTGACGAACAATATATATGGGAGCTATATCTAAACCGATATTCAGGAAGTTGACATACTTGTTTCTGGACTCAATTCTGAAAATGAATGAAATGCCTGGATATTGTTTCAAAAATATGACCTAACAGTTCTATCCATGGTACAATAAAAAGGTAAGGTAGAGCACCCATCTGATTAAATTTTTTTTCTAATTGTGCCCAAGTTCTGCTAATTTTGGTTTGTTTAAAAAAAAACGAAATATTTTCAAAATCAATGTTTGGAGGAAACTTAAAATGCGGGGCGCGCTTTTATAATATTAACCAGTTTTGCCATGGAATTGAAATATTGAACACTTAGGATCATATTTTTGAGAGAACATCCAGATATTTCATTCATCTTTCGCGATATTTGACTCATTTTAGAAATGAACAAAAAATATTAAATAAATGAAAACAACTTGTTGGATATAATTTTGAATAATTCTGACAGGAAGCGGGCAGAACTTCAGGGCTGAATTTCTGTAGTTTTACGATGCTGTTCTACCTCTTTATTGTACCATGGTTCTATCTTTCAATTCCATGCCAAAACTGGCGAATAGCTTTAATGCGCGTCTCCCAATTTTTGCGTCTTCCACTCATTCGGGCCAATTACGGTTGTCATTTCTACAGTCGTCGACGACGTTATGTGCAAGTCGACATCTCCGTCGTTTCGATTTAATAATGGTATTACGGTAAGGCAAAGCGACATCGACAGTTTAAAAAAGTTGGCAACACTTCCGTGTTGTTGACGAAAAAGATAATAAATTGTTTGCAGCGGCGAGTCCTAAGGGCTTAACTCTAGGTTATCAAAAACTCTACAATTTTTTTGAAATATTTTCCAGTGGTAGGTATTTTTACCCTGCTTCCTGGGGGGACGGACCACAGATTTTTGACCCGAAAGTCCGGGTTCAAGACCAGGATCGAATACCTATCCAACAAGTGGTCACTTAATGGGGTTATGTAAAGCGGTTCGGAAGTAGTAGTCTAATTATCGAGTTTTTAGACTCAGATTTTAAGTAGCCGGCCTTCGGCCCCATCAATTGGCCACTTGCATAGCTTTCAAAATATACCTATATTGCCGGGTCTTGAACCCGGACTTTTAAGACAAATATCTGGGGAATCACTGCCATAGTTTCCAGGAATCAGGGTAAAAATATTTGCCTCTGGAAAATTTTTCGAAAAAATAGAAGAGTTTTTACTTAACTAGAGTTGTTTCAATTGGCCACAGCATTGAGGTTTTTAGCGCTAGGATCTTGGTAGACCAGTGTCGGAAATAACTTCAATATTTCCAAATTGTTTTGCTGTTGTTATTTCATGGTCAAATGGTAACAAATATCAACGTCGGCTAAAAAATACAATGTCGTCACAATTTTTACGGCGACAGATATTCTCTAAAAATGACTTGGGGTCGACTGTTGTATTGATAATAGCAATCAGTCATCGCTATCGACAAAAAACGACAATCCTAATACCGTTATTGTCGTCCCGACTACATTTTGCGACGACGACGACAACCGTAATAGGGCCGATTGAGTTTTAAGATATTATGTTTTTATTTTTCAAAACAATTAATACATACACAAAATTGGCAGAAGTCGGGCACACTTAGAAAAAAATGTAATCAGCTGGTAGCTCTACCTTACCTTTTTATTGCATTAAAAGTCTATTTAATAGAATCAGACATTACTACGAAGTTACATTTTTCCCAATACCTTCGAAGTTGTATCACGAATTAGTCCATCGAAAACGGACGTATGCCCAAAATAAACGAAATAATTATAACAAAATATTTTTTTTCAATTTTTGTTATTATTATATTTTTTTTTATAAATATTCGTACAAAAGACCTAAATGTGTATAAAAAATAACCATAAATCCAATTTATATACAAAAAATCGTGTATAATGAATCAAAAAAAAATATCTTAATAATCCATGAGCTTTACAATAAGTGAGGTTAGTTTTGATTTCTTAAAAGAAATTTGAATGTTATGAAATTGTATCGTAAGTATAAACATGATTTCAATGGTTGAGAGTGATATGTCCAATTTCAATGGGAGCAATAAATCTTTAAAAACACTTCCGATTTATAATTATTTTTGTTGTTTGAAAACAAAATTTGTACAGCAATACCATGCCAGCTGGGATGATTACTGAGTCTTGTTTAGACCATTGTTGCCATGCCATTTATATGAACCGTAATACAAGAAATTACTTTCATGCAATTTTCGATCAGCCTCCTTGGGTCCACGTGATCCATAAATATAAGGTATAGGTTTAACTTTCTCATCTTCAATTCGATGGAGTATTGGTGTGAAAATACGCCAAGCTTCCCGCAACTCATCCGACCGTACAAAATGCATTTGTGAGCCGCAGAAAACATCGAGAATTAAACGTTCATAGGCATCTGGTAAGTAGGAATCTCTATAGCGATGTTCATAGGTTAAGTCCAGTTCGGTTTCTTCAATGTCAAAGGTAATGCCCGGCGATTTGGTCATCATTTTAAAGTACAAAGCTTCGCCTGGCTGGACACGTATTACCAACTCATTACGTTTGGCACTACCCTCAAAAATGTCACCCGGTACATCTTGATACTGGATACGAACTTCAGCCTTACGTTCATTCAGTGCTTTGCCGCAACGCAAAATGAAGGGCACTCCCTGCCAACGTTCATTGTTTATGTGCAACACGCCCAAGGCATACGTTGGTGTGGTGGACTCCGGATTGACGGTGGGATCATCTAAATAGCCCAACTTCGCTTCACCAGTTCCCTCGGGATTGCCAACGTATTGACCCAAAACCATATCGTCCAGTGTCAATGCTCGAATACATTTCAATACTTTGACTTTTTCATCACGAATATCGTCTGGGTGACAACTAACCGGCTTTTCCATGGCGACCAATGAGAGAATTTGCAACAAATGATTTTGCATGACATCACGTATAATACCGAATTGATCAAAGTAACCGCCACGCCCCTCTGTGCCAAATGGTTCCTTGAAGGTGATCAACACCGAGGCAATGTTCTCGCGATTCCATGTCGAGCCCAAAATCTTGTTGCCAAACCGTATGGTCATTAGATTTTGTACCATCTCCTTGCCCAAATAATGATCAATGCGATAGATTTGGTCTTCGTGGAACAGCGAGGCCAAATGATCGCTTAGCTCTTTGGATGAAACGTCATCGCGACCAAAGGGCTTTTCAATGATAACACGATTCCAGCCCCTAGAAAGGAAGAGAGAAAAAATATATGATAATTATTAGAAAAACAAAACGAGAAATAGTGGGCAATGAAAGTAGTAAAGGCGTAGCGTGTTGCCGGACAAATGTCCTAGAAACTACAGGGTGAGATGGAAAAACCGCAACCAACTTCAGACTGCTGTCATTTCTAAGCCAATCGTCCGACAGCTGTTAAAATTATTCCAGTAACAGCTAACTATATTGTTTACAAGCGTTAAGAACGTTTTGATCGAAACCCGCATCGCAGTGACCGAAAAATAGCTCGTGAGCTGAACATATCGTAATATTCCATTCGGCAAATTTTGAAAAATGAGCTCGGGGTAAAGTCATTGAAATTGCAAAAAGTGCAAGAACTTACACCGCAACAGAAAAAAATAGACTCAAAAGAGCTAAAGAGTTGCTTCGCTTGGTCGAAAGTGGTGAACTGCCGAATTTGGGGTTTCTCCGATGAGAAAACATTCGTTGTGAAGCGGTTTGTAAACAAACAAAATGATCGCGTTTACTTGCCGAAGAGGTCAGCTGAAAATGTGCACCTTCGGTTGGCCACCAGAAAGAACTCAAGCGCCGGCCATGGTGATGGTGTGAGCCGCCATAACAGCCGAAGGTCGCTCTCTGCTCGTATTAATCGACCGTGGCATCAGAATATTATCGCGAAAATATTCTGGAGGGTGTATTAAAGCCTTGTGCAGCAAAACATTTTGGCCGCAGACCTTGGACATTCCAACAGGACTCAGCACCATCGCACTCAGCACGTGCCACCCAAGAATGGTTACAAAATGAGGTTCCGTATACCAATCCGTTGGACTATTGTGTCTGGAGTATTTTGGAAAGCAAGGTTGGCACTAAAATATACCAAAGTGTCGATCACCTCAAGCAAGCGCTTCACCGGGAATGGGCCTAAATATCGTAGAGCAACATTCGGGCAGCGTGTCCGTCCATCAGTCCATCTATCCGTCTGTGGAAATGACTCTAGCTTCCAAATGAAATGACAAAATTTTACTCAAATGTATTTTGTAAATGTACTGAAAATGGGTCATGTAGGTTTACGCTTTGGTATAGCACCTATTATAATGGTACCACCCCATTATCGGTATTTTGTTGATTTTAGCGACATTATTCACCGGAATTGTTTCAAATTTGGTATTTGAAGTTCGTAATGTATACTACAACCTATGACAGAAAATTGTCTGTGCAGGTCTACGTCTTCGTATAGCCCTCATAAAACGGTACCTCCCGATATTCGGTATTTTGATGATTTAAGCGACATTATTCGCCGAAGTTGTTTCAAATTTGGTGTTTGAAGTTCGAAATGGATACTACAGCCTAAGACAGAAAATATTATGTGCAGGTCCACGTCTTCGTATAGCCCCCCATATAACGGTGCCTCCCGATATTCGGTATTTTGATGATTTTAGGAACATTATTCACCGGAAATGTTTCAAATTTGGTACTTGATGTTCGTAATGGATATTACAGCCTATGGCAGAAAATCCTAAGTGCAGGTCCATGCCTTCGTATAGCTCCCGTATAACAGCACCTCCCGATATTCGGTATTTTGATGATTTTAGCGACATTATTCACCGGAAATGTTTCAAATTTGATATTTGCAGTTCGTAATGTATACTACAGCCTATGATAGAAAATCGTCTTTTCAGGTCCATGCCTTCGTGCAGCTCCCATATAACAGCACCTCCTGATTTTAGCGACATTATTCACCGGAAATGTTTCAAATTTGGTACTTGATGTTCGTAATGTATACTACAGCCTGTGACAGAAAATTGTCTGTGCAGGTCCACGTTTTGGTATAGGCCCCATACAACGGTACCTCCTTATATTCGGTATTTTGATAATTTTGGCTACATTATCCACCGATTTTTTTACGTTTCGCATTTGAATATTGTTATGGCTCATGACAAAAGTTGACCATGCAGGTCCACGTCGTTGTATAGACCCTAATATAACGGCTATATTTTAAGTAATTTTAAGATTTTAACAGAATTTTTAACGGATTTTATTTTTTTTTTTCTTTTGAAAATTGCCAAATTCGTTCCAAATGGCGGAGGGTATTCAAAGTTCAGTACGGCCCTGCCGAACTTACAGCTTTTTTACTTGTTAAATATCACAAAGGTGTAGTTAATTTTTTCGATCGTACGATTGGGCGCCACTTGATTAAAGTTATGATTTTTTCGACCCCATTGATTATTTTGTAAGAACGAATGATGATATTATAGTATGCTTATGTTGGAGCTTATGGCGGGTTAACCCTCTTATGGGGACTATATTGACATACATGGAATGGAGTTGGCAATTTAAATCCACTGGCTTTACTAAATAATGTAAATTGTTAATGCACTTTTAAGTGGGACATTAAAAAGTACACCTGCATGCTATGGTGACAATAGCTTTCCCATGTAGGGTTCATTCGCCGTCGGTATATACACTAGTGCCAACAGATTTCATGAAATAATACCCATTCATTCATTTATTTCCAACTTACTTCTTTGACAAACATATCTCCTTCACTTGTACCGTGACGGTGTTGAACACAGACGGTGGTAGAGCCAAATAAAAAATGCGATTGGCTATGCCCTTATTTTCCATGGCCTCCATTTGCTGCTGCAGCATTTCATAACCCAAACGTCCATCATAATTACCCGACACATATTCATTCAAATGCCAAAACTCTTCGAAAAGTTTTTGTTCGTGTGGTTGGACCTGAAAAGAGAAAACGACAAAAATAAAAGAAATGAGCAAAGCAAGCAATGGCTCATAGTAGCTATGTTCAATTCAAAAGTTTATGTAACATTTGTTTGAGATTGTGGTGTGATCACTTCGAAAATTAATGTTACGGCCAAGAGTTGGAAACAATGAAGATGCTATTAATGACAACAACGCATGCATGCAGAATGCGCGCGGCAATATTAAGGTGAGAGTACACAGGCAACTTGAAGTCTTCGCATGACATATTTTGTGACATATCACAAAAGGATGCCAGAGCCGCACTCGAATCCTGCCGTCGTTTCCCCTTATAATTTGACATTAACATGCCTAGCCATGCTGCTTTTGTAGCCTTACCTTTATTCTCAGATCCGTTCACTTTCGACTTAAAGTGAAGGAATTAAAAAGTGTCTATAATACTTTATGAGGACTTATTTGACGTTTACATGGTGAGATGAAAAAACTGCAACCAACTACAGACTGCTGTCATTTCTAAGTCACTCGTCCGACAGCTGTTAAAATTATTCCAGTGACAGATCATTATATTGTTTACAAGCGTACAAAAGCATTTTGGTGATAAATTCCCAGAAAAAAAGTTATCCGCGATGGATTTCAAGCGTGATAGTGTGATTTCTTTAATATTTGGCTGGAAAATCACAAGTGGCTATCGTTAGAACACTCCAGCATTTAAATGTGAATAAATATATGGGAGCTATAATATCCAAACCTGAAACGATCTCGATAAAATTGGCAAAGATATTTCTAAGCTGTATTTGATCTATTTCCCTGAATATCGTTGTTACGGAGTGCATATTACGGCTGTGGGTAACAAATATAACAAATCGGATGAACAGGAGCTATAGCTATATCTGAACCGATCTTCACCAAATTTGACATTTAATTCGGTCGTAAGTGCCAAATTCCATCCCATTTGGACAAATATTAGACATTTGGTGCACAATAAAAGGTAAATCGGACGAAGTTATATATGGGAGCTATATCCAAATCTGAACCGATCTCGATAAAATTTAGCAAATGTATTTCTGAGCTCTATTTGATATATTTCCCCAAAAATTGTTGTTACAGAGTGCATATTACGGCTGCGGAGGACAAAAATAACAAATCGGATGAACAATATACATGGAACTATAGCTATATCTGAACCGATTTCGATCAAATTTGGCCTACTTGTTTTCAGGCCTAATTTGGTCGTATGTGCAAAAGTCCATACTATTTGGGCTGATATTACACGTTTGGTGCACAATAAAAGTAAATCGGGCGATAGAGGAACCTCCTTTTGTAACCATTTTTGGGTGGCGCGTGCTGAGTCCTATTGGAATGTTCAAGGTCTCCGGCCAAAATGTTAGCGTGCCCAAGGCTTTAATACACCCTCCAGAATATTTTCGTGATAATATTCGGCATTTTTTCTGCTGCCACGGTCGATTAATACGAGCGGAGAGCCCCCATCGGCTGTTATGGCGGCCCACACCATCCCCATGGCCGGCGCTTGAGATCTGGTGGCCAACCGGAGGTGCAAATTTTCAGCTGACCTCTTTTGGAAGTTTTGTTTGTTTACAAACTGCTGCACAACGAATGTTTTCTCATCGGAGAAAACCAAATTCGGCAGTTCACCACTTTCGGCCAAAGGAAGCAACTCTTCAGCTCTTTTGAGTCTATTTTCTTTCTGTTGCAGTGTAAGTTCTTGCACGTTTTGTAATTTCAATGGCTTTACCCCGAGCTAATTTTTCAATATTTGCCGAATGGAATATTGAGATATGTTCAGCTCACGAGCCATTTTTCGGCCACTGCGACGCGGGTTTCGATCAAGTCGCTTCTTTACTTTTCGAACCATTTATACTGATGTTGGCGGTTTCTTACTTTCTTAGGAAGTGGACCTTGACGTCGGGCTACGCTACCAGTAACACAGTAACGAGCGATGGTACGAGACACAAAAGATTTACTCACATTCAAATGCTGGGGTGCTCTAACGATAGCCACTTGTGGTTTTCCAGCCAAATATAAAGAAATCACACTATCACGCTCGAATTCTATCACGAATAACTTTTTTATAGAAAATTCTCACCAAAATGATTTTGTACGCTTGCAAATAATATAATGAGCTGTCACTGTAATAATTGTAACAGCTGTCGGACGAGTGGCTTAGAAATGAGAGCAGTCTGAAATAGGTTGCAGTTTTTTCATCTTACCCTGTATACATAACATTAGGTATGTCTAGTTACTTTGCCTGCAGGAATTGTCCAGCAACTTCTTTCTGCAAGAAAATTGCAAGAAAACTGTGAAAAGTAAACAGACGGAAATCCTGCAAAAACTTGCAAGCCATCAGCTGATTTATCAAAACAAAGCAATTTGTCCTTAGATAAAAGAAATTAAGTACGCAAAAATTAAAAAATGTTTCGAAAAACCAAACAGTTGGACTTATTTTTAAATTTCTTGCCCAAATATGCAAGAAGAAATTTGTCCAGCAAGAATTTGCAAAGTCTCAGTGAATGAACTGTCAAAATTGTTCTCTCAAATCGCTCTCTTTTGCAAATCTTTTGTATTAACAGACGAGTTCCATTAACGATTTGTAACAATTGTTACAAATTTTAGGTTAACCAGACACACCTATTGTGCACTAATATTCATGAATATTTATTTATTTATATTTTAGGTTATTTGTATCGAATAAATCCGGGTTATAGCTCCTTTATACTATTAAATATTAACCTTCTGTGTTTATTAGATCCCGGGGGATAATCGTGTGTGTTTAAATACACCCTTAGGAGGATATAAATGCTGCTCATTTGATTAAATTCAAGCGTGATAGAGTGATTTCTTTATATTTAGCTGGAAAACCACAAGTGACAAAAAAAGAAAAGAAATTAGACTCAAAAGAGCTAAAGAGTTGCTTCGCTTGGCCGAAAGTGGTGAGCCGCCTAATTTGGTTTTCTCCGATGAGAAAACATTCGTTGACCAGCAGTTTGTAAACAAACAAAATGATCGTGTTTACTTGGCAAAGAAGTCAGCTGAAAATGTGCACCTTCGGTTGACCACCAGAACTCAAGTGCCGGCCATGGTGATGGTGGGGGCCGCCATAACAGCCGATGGTCGCTCTCCGCTCGTATTAATCGACCGTGGCATCAGAATAAATGCCGAATATTATCGCGAAAATATTCTGGAGGGTGTAATAAAACCTTGGACACGCAAACATTTTGGCCGCTGATCTTGGACATTCCAACAGGACCTAGCTTCATCGCACTCAGCACGCCACCCAAGAATGGTTAAAAATGAGGTTCCTCGCTTCATTTCCACACACAATGGCCACAAAAATCTCCGGATACCAATCCGTTCGACTATTGTGTCTGGAGTATTTTGGAAAGCAAGGTTGGCACTAAAAAATACCAAAGTTTCGATCACCTCAAACAAGCGCTAAATTGGCTAAAATAACGCAACATTCTGGAAGCATGTGACGGTTTCATTGGCCGTTCGAAGATCATAATTCGTGCCAAAGTACAAAGGACGCCTATGCAAAATATAAAATACGCCTTTTCGGGAACATTTGCAACTTTCGAGTGTACCGCAGTATTAATGCTTTACTTTTACTGTACCCAGTGATGATTTCCGTTATTATGTAGATTCCGCACCGGGATTAAAATAAATCCAGTCGTTAGAACATCTATTTTTGCTAAATCCGGTATGGTGCACACGTACCATAATGTGGATTTGGTTTTACGACATTTTCTACGAATCGATAACTATTTTGATCTCAAATAAAGCGAGATATGAGATGCAGCATTTTCGTATCCTTCGAACAATTATCATGACAAACAGGGTGCAAGTACATAAAAAGTTTGAAGTCATGGCTAGGCATATAAATATAAAATTATAATGGAAAACGACGGCAGGATTTTAGAGCGGCTCTGTAATCCCTTTATGAAGTGTCACAAAATATGCCATCACAACAAGCCATGACTTCAAGCTTCTTAGGTACTTGTACCTTTAGGAATACTCTCAATGTATAACTGAAAGTTTAGAGACCAGCCTCTTTTCTGTCACTCTTACAAATAACAGTTCTTCACCTTATTGAAGTACCTACCTTCATATATTTTTCACAGGCTTTCTTGATATCGTCGCATGTTATTTTCGAACGAGCATATCCACAAAACTTCGTTGGCTTGGGCAATAGATTATCACGGTATAGCCACCATAGCGTGGGATAGATTTTCTTTTTGGCCAAATCACCGGAGGCACCAAATATCACAAAGGTATGTGGGATTTGTCCATCAAAATGTGTACCCTCACACACCATGGTGGGTGATTTCAGTGCCTTAATAATGCGCTCCAGGGTGAGTTCGTGATTATCCTGATCGTGACCTAAAACCCAGGGGGGAAAGAAACAAAAAGTTAATAAATAGCCAAATTGCAGATGCTAATAATGGAGAGTTATAATGAATGATGTTTAAACAATTATCTTTAACCTTGAACTTTTTAAATATTGTGTTTGTTTTTGTTTTCTTCGTTTTCTTTTATTGCTGGCGATCAATGTCTTTCGACCGTTTGTCTATATCATACGAGGTTGCAGGGCTTACTAAAAACTCGTCTTAGCATTACTTGGAAATATATAAACGTTTTTGTTATATTTGATTGTCATTATTTGTCTCTTGTTGAGAAGATACTTCCGACCCCCCCCCCCCTGCTTACGATCGCATAAATGGGAGAAAATGCATTCATTTTTGAGTGCAAACTTAGGTATATTCCGATAGGTATCAGCAAATGGCATGACAATTAATTCAAGTATCTAAACACTCGTATGGTTCCGTGCATCTAAAATGCAACTACATATTTATGGCAAGCGAATAGCGTAGATATGAGTAATAAGCATGTAAATTTGTACAGGGTGTTACACAATTAAACTCGGAACTTGATTTGTTCTTATTTGAATATTGCTGAACGACAATTGCGGAATTGCCATAAAGGTTTACAGATACAGAGTTGATTTTTGTAAAACCAAGTACTGTACACAGTGATTAGGAATGGTCAAACTAATAGTGCATTTACACTAGACAAAAAATAATAAACTATTGAAGAATGGTATAAAGGCTGCAAATACATAAAAAGCTTGAAGTCATGGCTAGGCATATTAATGCCAAATTATAATGAAAAACGACGGCAGCATTTTAGTGCGGCTCTGTAATTCCTTTGTGAAATGTCACAAAATAGGCCGTGCCATGACTTCAAGCTTCTTATGTACTTAGCCCTTAATGTTTGTTTGCGTATACATACAGACCCAAAGATAATGCAAAAAATAGTCAAAAAGAGAAATTCCAAAAAAAAAAAAAAAAAAACGGTTTAAATGATGACCGTTATGCGGGGGTTATACGAAGACGTGAACCAGCATAAGTCATTTTTTGTCATAGGCTATACTACCCATTAAGATTTTTAAATTCGAAACTTAAAAATCATCAAAAATACCGAATAAAGGGAGGTACCGTTATATGGGAGATATAAGAAGACATGGATCTGCTGCATACGAATTTTTTAGACATAGGCTCATGGCAGAAGAATACAGGTAGATGCATCAACGCTTGGGAGCATTGATATGTCAAAAAAAATGTGAATGTTCTTTTCAAATATAAGTAGATTTTTATATGTTTTCTTATACTACGTCATTCGGAGGCTATTATAATTCGCGTTTTTCAACAATTTTTACAAATTTAAATAATTTTTCATTCAACATTTTCAATTCCAAAATTGGTTTGACAGTCCATTGTCCCAGCAGCTGTGTCGACGCGTCTACCTATATTCTTCCATTACCCATTACAAGTTGTGTTCCAGAACCTACAAATTAGTACTAATTCTGCTACAACGCGTTCCCGTACTTCAAAAACTAGCAAAATTTGCAACTCTCTCGAGAAAAAATGGCGCTGAGTGGTGCACATTTCTGCTTGTTTTAGCTACATGAATTTGGCCGAGCAGAAATGTGCATATTGTAAATTTGACATTTAATTGGCAGGGCTAACAAGGTCGAAAAATATATTGATACATTTCAATGTTCGCGCATCACAACAAAGATAAAGAAAATGATCAACTTAAAAACTAAAGGAAAAACTAATATTTGTCGTGCAAAAAACAAAAAGAGAAAATATAGAGCAACTGATGTATTCACTTTTCGATGATTCCAGCAGTGAAGAGGACTGGCTGAATCGGAATCAGATTATTAATTATTATTGTTAGAGATTATTAATTTTAACTTATCGTCTTCAATACTCATTTTTTAAATGTTGTCATCCTTTTCATTAAGGTTTCGCCAGTCCGATTTAGACTGCTTTTGGAATTTTGACATTTTTCGCATTTCTGCTAATTTTCCGTTCTCTTATTTTTTGAGCACACCTAAATGAGAATGAAATTTCGCACTGTTCTCTCTTCTGCTAGTTTTATTACTAAAAAAAGGACTGGAACATAACTACAAACATCGAGCACGAAATTTGAAACAATTCGAGTAAATGGTGTGCGACTTGGGAGTGTACGGAAATACAGGATGAAATTAAAATAACTGCAACAAAGTCAAGCGCCATAATTTTTTCATTTGTTTTTTAAATTTTATTAAATGAAAGCAAAAAAATATCGGAAATAGCATCAAATTTTAGAGTAAGTTAAAATTGGTTCGAATTGGTCACCTTTGGCACGAATTATGGCCTTCAAACGGCCATGAAACCGTCACACGCTGCCCGAATGTTGCTCTGCGTTATTTTAGCCCATTCCCGACGAAGCGCTTGCTTGAGGTGATCGACACTATGGTATTTTTTAGTACCAATCATACCATTATGCACAGGAAATGAAGCGAGGAACCTCATCTTGTAACCATTCTTGGGTGGCCCGTGCTAAGTCCTGTTGGAATATCCAAGGTCTGCGGCGAAAATGTTTGCAAGGCCAAGGCTTTAATACACCCCCAGAATATTTTCGAAAATAGTATTCGGCATTTGTTTTGATGCCACGGTCGATAAATACGAGCGGAGAGCGATCATCGGCTGTTATGACGGTCCACACCATCACCATGGCCGGCGCTTGAGTTCTGGTGGCCAACCGAATGTCGACATTTTCAGCTGACCTCTTTGGCAAGTAAACACGAGCATTTTGTTTTTGTTTTACAACGAATGTTTTCTCATCGGAGAAAACCAAATTCGGCAGTTCACCACTTTCGGCTAAGCGAAGCAAATTTTTACCTAATTTGAGTCTATTTTCTTTCTGTTGCGGTGTAATTTCTTGCACTTTTTGGAATTTTAATGCCTTTACCCCGAGCTCATTTTTCAATATTTGCCGAATGGAATATTGCGATATGTTCAGTTCGAACCATTTATGCTGATGTTGCTGTTTTCTTCTGTCAACTTCCTTGACGTCATCGTCAGCTGTATTCAAGTGCTTCCCTTACATTCTTTTAAAATATGTAACTAAATACGCATGATGAAAATGATGTTTAACAGCAATTGACATTATAAACAAATTGAGTAGTGCTGCAAGGCCTAAAAGCTAAAACAAATAGCTTAAATCATGATTCCGGAGTAAGTAAAAAAAAAAACAGAATGTGTTCGACTAAATCTTAAGGTGGGAATAAATAAAGCGCTTATTTTGCTGGCTTAAGTCATTGGCTGGCTTCTTCGAAGAGGAGCAAAAGAGTTTTAGGTTGACTTAGTTCGATTTTAGCCCTATGCCCTTTTGTTAATTTTCGAAGAAGCCAGCCGATGACTTATGCCAGCCAAATAAGCGCTTTATTTATTTCACCTTTACAGTACGTTTACATATAAATGGGTTAACCCACTGGATTTGGATTAAAATTGTCGTATCCATTACTTATACTTCAAATAAATCCTCTTAAAGTAGGTTAACCCTGCAAAAAAACTCTAACGTAAACATAGCATTAGACTTTCCCTGTTGAAATTATTTCATTTACTTTTTTTCAAAGCTCACTGTATTATATTGAGTTACTAATGGCAAACGTGTGGTGAAGATCACGCGATACATTTTTCATTGTTTACCTACGGAAATAGGCGCTCTCTAAAGTCAAGTTTTACTAACAATAGAATTAATATTTATATTACGTATTCATATTTACGCCGTTTTTTATCTATGTAGTTGTACTATACCAGCATTATTTTGCAATAATTGAATTCAAAACACATTAAAGTCCACATTTTTAAATAGGCAAATGCATACAGGTATTTTTGTGACGTCCTTGTGGCATTTGTTAAGCTAATAAAGTTCTGTTTGTCTCTAATAACAATAATAATAATATTGTGCAATATGGGAGAGTGGAGGATTAGGTGTTGGTATTTTTGGTATCTATTACTTGAGTGGTAAAAATGTAGAATTTCATCTCATCATTGTTACAGTTGCTTTTGTATGATTAAATATGGAAATGCAACACTGATGATTTATTAATAACATGGTAGAAGAATACAGGTAGATGTATCAACGCTTAGGAACATTGATATATCAAACATTTTTAAATGTTTCTCCAAAAATAAGTATATTTGTATATGTAATTCTATATAATGTCCATTGGAGATAGTTATGATATGCATTTTTTAACAATTTTTACAAATTTGAAAAATTTTGTATTCAAAAATTTCAATTGCAAAATTGATCTGACAGTTCATTGTCCAAGCAGTGGTGTCGATGCGACTATCGGTATTCTTCTACCAAGATTAGGTGTGTCTGGTTACCATTCCTGCAACATCTTTCTGAAAGAGTAAGGTCGTTTTATTCTCTTTTGCAAGGAAAATGCGAAAAGTAAACAGACAGAAAAGAATTAAAAGAAAGAAATCACCACCCATTTTACAATTTTTATAAATAAAAAGGAAATTAACAATAAAATGCGAATATGAGCAATAAAAGAACGATAGATTTGATGTGTTCCCCGGAATCATTTAAACGTGTTGCTAAAGGCGTTTGTCTAAAAATGTTCGAAATAGTCTTTTATTTTCTTATTACATATTAATGTTTACGTTTTTCACATTTTATAAAGTTGTTTTCCAAAAACAATTAGTCCATGGTACAATGAAATAAAGGTAACCTCATTTTAAATAAGCATTTCCAGCTCTGCATTATCTGTTATTTACCTTGTCAGATTTCAATGCATAAAAACATTTCCCATCTCTGATTTTGTGTGTATACAATGGATTTAATTTTGACAATGAGATGTTGTCAAATGTATACATTTGAAAAAATTGTAAACATATGATTACATGACTTTACCTTCTTAGTTCTACCATGAATTAGTCTTGCTAATTCCATAAAAAAAATATTTCCAAATTAAAAGCACAAAAAGGAATAAAAAAAGCAATAGAAAACACCTGATTGAATGTCGATAAATTAAA